ACATTCAGTTTATTATGACAACGATGGTGGCTTGTTGATCAGATGATAATAAAATAATAAGTCAAATTCCGCCGATCCACTGATATGTAAAGTTCCATTTACTGCATAATCCATTACAATCATGTATTTTAAAGTTTTAGGATCTTGTGTGATTCCATATAATCGAACAAATGCGTATTTAGCTTCTATAGAAGCTTTGATATAGTTTTTAAACTAAATTTAAATTAAATATACGTGTATAATAGACGTATTTATATAAATATTATAAATTGAAAGACTAAAAATAACATTATCAATACCTCTTTTAAGAATACTTCATCTAAGAATACTTCATCGCTGGGAAATTCCTTTAACGCAACTAAACAACCACTATCACTATATAAAGTATTTTTATCTTTTAATTCATCCAATTTACTTTTAAATAAATTATCATTATCATAATCGGTTGCTTGAATATAATTCCATTCATCATTATCAATATTAATAAACTGTTTTATTCGGAGCCATTCATTTTTTTTATGATCCCAATCGTAAATAGTTCCCATAGTCCAAATAGCCTTGTAAATAATACCAAAACCACCTCTATCAACATATTTAATTTTCTTAAATTGGTCATACAGAATCCATTCTAAAACATCAGTTCGATCTTTGGCATTTTGTTGTGATTTCTTAATTAAATTGTCAATAATCTCATTTCCACTTGTCCATTTTTCAAAAATTTGTTCCAATCTTCTTTTATTACAACTTTGACACCAATATCTACAATCCGGACATAGTCCAGTTTTGGGGTTTTTTGGTTTAGATTTTGTCCATTCACAAGATTTACATCTATCTTTATAAGAATTTTCTTCATTACAAATTGGACAACGACCATATTTGGGTCCGCAATTTTGACACCAATCTCTATTAGGATCCTTTTCATCACAATTATTCTGACATCTTAGCTTTTTAGCAAGCGATATTAATTCAGGAGATAAATAGTCTGAAAGCAAAGACCCAAAATCGTAAGACCTATGATCTCAAAATAATTTTTAGGTTAAATATTCTTGGAATTTAATATATTAATATAGACACCTACATTATTTTTATTGAAAAAATAATTATTTTTAAATCTTCCTTACAGCTAATATTTAAATAATTGTAAATAACTGATTACAAAATCCGAAATGAATAAATATTTTGGTATTAATGATAATATTTGTATTTATTGTAATACTAATGCTAACGTTAATTATCATTAAACTTGGAACAGAAAACCGGTTTAAGTCCGGAACTCATAATGTCATATTACACAAACACGTAAACATGCATAATTTTCTTACACAATGTACAAATATAGAGACGCGGCATTACAGACGGAAAATGTCGAAACAACCTTTTTGATCTTTTTATTATAAATGCATCAAAATCGTAATTTCTGTCATCAAAGCGCATAGAAATGAAAGTTCTCCGCTTCGCTCCGGACAATAATCAGGTAATTTTGTGCTTGCGAAAATATCTTATATCTTTTTCATTGTATAACAAATATAACAGAACTTGATTTTTTTGACACCAAAATTAATAAAACTTACTAC